CCCCATCTCGTTCCTCGTTTTCGGTCCAATTTCCTAACGATCCTACAAGTAAATGCCATTGCTACGTCATCTTCCTCAAAAGAATCGTCCTAGTCAGCAGCTCGTTTGTCTGGCTGAAGTATTTCAGGGAAACAACTAACAATACTTCAGAGTTCCTAACCGCGAAGGCCCAGAGTTTTGAGTTCTAACGACAGCGTATTTCCGACACTAGTTAGATACCTAAATCAAATCCAACCTGCCTGAATGAAAATTCGAGCAACCGACTACTCTGATCGGTAATTTTCCGTGGTTTCTCCAATCAACACCAAGCAAATGCCGGAGAAGAAACCTAGCAAACAGGCAGTATACGGTATTTCCTTCCTCATCTGTGACCCCTTCTATCCCGTTACACACACAGACATACATTTACATGAACTCCACTATTACACATGTCGGGGAAGACGGGGGTCCCGACAGTAATGAATCCCCGTTGGCGTGTAGTTCGGCTCTGGATTTCAAATTTTAGCGGGGTATGAATTCTGTTTCCTCTAGGAATATAACAAGCACTACATTTTCGGGGCTAATAATCATCTCCGTTTCCGCTTCCGGAAACGCTGGCCGTGAGGTCCTAGGGTTCGGGTCCCATCGGGGGCAAGATTTTGGACACAGCTAGGGAGAGTTCAGCAGCTACCAGGAGGAGAAGTCTAGCCTCCGGCTGCTCTGATTGGTAGTTTTCCGTGGTTTCTCCGACCAGCACTAAGCGAATCCGGGTGCAGTACCGTAGTTACAAGCAGCCATGGACAGCGCGCAAGGTTTTCCTCCCCTTGCTTGCCCTATTCTCACCCCTTATTTACACATTCACGTGTATTACACTACCACACCTGCCACCACGCTAGTGCGGTGTCCCGCTTTTGGGAGATACCTGGTTGTGGTAAAATCCTCTCAAGTCGACATAGATCGGCGCCGGATCTCGCCATCCAGCGTAGGAAGATAACCGTCACCTCCCGCAAGAAAATAATAATGCACCGCACTTCAACGACCTTAGCAGTTGCCGCGGCCGGATTGCCTAAGCAGTCAACGAAAATAATCGTTGCTCGCTGGCCGTCCACTGCGCGTGCCGGGGACACTGTGCGGCGCGCCCCCACCGCACGCGCCAGCCGCGCGCGTGGCCGCCGCCGCCGCCGCTGATGGGATTGGCCGCGCCCCGCCTACCCTCACGCCACCCCTCATGGGGGAGGGAGTCCGAACACTCATCCCGCCAATGTGATGAAGAGTCTTAGAAAATTCATTTTATGCTTTTTGGCCGACTCATAGCCAGTGATCTGGGCTCTTTAATATGGCGAAACCCGTATGTTTCTACAATATTTTGTTTTGTTTACACTTCGAGTTTTGTGATGTCTTGTGTTGGGATCACGCCTCCTTGGGGAAGTGGTAGAAGAGAAAAAAATAGCATATGTTTGAGGAAAAAGAGAATAAGGGGATGCATGGACCCAGAAAAAGAACAAATGACTCTGTAGCATTCTAGCTTACGAAAAACGTTTAACTTATTTCCCGGAAAGTCGACTCTTTGACTGTCGTCCGTAAGCTGGAAAATCTTATGTACAGTTTTACATAAGACAGCACCGTGATTGCATTAATATAGATATAAATATGTAGAGTAAGAGCATGAATCAAAATTAAACATTTTGGCAATTTACTTTACTACAAAAAATTGATTTTTTTAACTTTCTTTAAAAAATTGTTTAAAATCTATAAATATGTATGACACATGTACGATTTTGATTCAAGCTGTGATACTAATCGTGTATATCCATTGAAAATTATAATTGAAGCAATTTATCTGGGGTTCTAAATTTGAATCAGTTCACGACCTGTTTTCCATTTAAAATTTAGCTACCTTTCAAAATAAGTTGTCAGTCCCGCTTCCCATGTTTTTTGTGTCGGTTATTAACGAATTGATCCATAAGTTGCCCTAAAGGGTATGGGATCTGGGGGGGGAGGGGCACAAGTAATTGAGTAGTAGGCACGCGAAGGAACTGAGTCAAGTCAAGCCGTATCTATATTTTGATATAGAATAAAATATTTATTTTCCTACTTAGGGATACATGGAATATTTCCGGTGGTAGCGTTTTCTAATTAGTTACTTCAAATACACAACACAATCAAAGTAACAGTACAATATTTACGTATTACTACACAAATTTACAAGATTAGTAGATTTAACTTATCATGCTAAAGCTGACCTAACATAAAATAACAACAATAATAATAATAATAATTCAAAAAAATAATTTTAATGTTAACATATTCTTTAAAAAAACAATTTCATTTAATTTTAAAATTTTTGACATTCTGAAGGAAAGTTTCCAGTACTGATGGAGGCAATTCGTTCCTATTTTGTATTGTTCTGTTTACAAATGAGAATTTTCCTACGTCTGTTCTCTGTTTTCTTAGCCGAATTTTAGAACCATTATCCTTCCGCGCGACGTATGTGGGTTTTGATAATCTTGCACGCACTTCCCCACACGAACGATCACTTCGTATTGATTTGAATAGCGCACAAAGAAGTGATTTCTCTCTGCGTTTTTCCGAAGGTTCTCAAGTCAGAAAATCAGAATTTGAACGTCCGCTCCTAACACATTTTGAGACATATTTTGTTTTACTTTTTCGAGAGATTTTATTTGCCCTAAACGATACGGGTCCCAACATACGGAGCCATATTCCAATATCGGCCGCACTAGAGATGTGTGCCCTAAAATTCCCTTGATTTTCTACTTCCTTTCCTAAGCACTCTATAAAACGCGTCGGCTGAACACGCAGTTTGTGTTCATCGGTGAGGCCTAGGACCGGGGCGTCGCCGGCGATTTGGAAGTCCGCCAGTGAAGCGAGTTACGTTGGCAATTGCTTCGCTTCTTCACCCATCTACCTCAACACGTACGTTTCGAGTCCCTGTTTTCTGTATACCGCATTCCACACGTGTTCAATTTATCCGTTCGGTTTAGTGGTTTGCCAAAAGAGTCTCGCCAGCGGGAGGCTCCGGCGCTGTGCGGACGCGCCAATTGCAAACATCGACGCTCAGTGCAATTGGGAGTTAGCACAGAGAACCTTTCGTTATTGGTCTAATTGCACCCCTTGGCTAAGATCGAAATAAAAAGACTCGCCTTGCTCCAAACGCTCGTCCAAGCCAAATGATCGCAGAAATAGGTCATTGTCGTTCAGCAATTATCAGGTTATTAATTTTTGGAACTACATTTTTTTTTTACTTTACTATTACAGAAAGTGAGTCTTTCGCGTACGAATTGAAAGTTGACGACGAGGGAGACAATAGGAGTCCAGTTCTGTATTTTGAAATGAAGAAATTTCCCTTTGTTGAGCTGTTATTGCCATTATAATAGAGCGCTTTGTTCTGAGATTTTTAATCATGTAATTTTATCGGTTGAAATTATCTTTTGAATTTTAATTGTAGCCACTCTCGTTTCGACTGAATAAATTAGAATCGATCTTCAGCGGTTTTATTAATAATTATTTTACTATCACTTTGTTTCTTCAGCTACATTACTTTCATTAATTTTTTAGTTATGGTATTTGTTTATGAATTTATACTTTAAGTAGGTTTTGGCGACTGTAGAAAAAAAACTGAATCACTAACCTGTAATGTATCATAATTAATGCTAATAGAGCCACTCTTGTCCATAATTGTAAAAATTATTTCAAAGGATTGTCGCGCTTATCTCAGAATAATATCGGACATTGGGTTATCCCCCAATAATGTACTTAATTTCGATCTTGTTCTATTTGTCCCTTTATTATTTTAACAGACCTTTATTTTAACTATTGTAGTTTTTACAAAAATAACACTATGTATCATTTTGTATTATGTTATTTTGCGACAGTTTCGAAGAACAATTTGTCCCCATCATCAGGCTATAAAAAATAATATTTATATTGACAATGGATAATACCAGATAGAAAAAACATGAATGAACAAGAACAGACAATTTAACAATTTATTAATTTCGATCTCTATAGAAAGCATACTAAACCTCAATACTACACCTTCGATGTGATTCAGCTTTGACCCTTTAAGCAGCAACAGGCGGGATGCCATAAGTCAATCATAAATCAAGCACTGAAATGGTGTTTATCTCATGTTGAATGAGAGCTTAATTCAGAGAGTTCGTTCGCCGCGTACGGTGGTCGTTTGGCTCAAATGGAATGGAAAGACTTCCGCTGTGAAGTCTAGATTCTCGTCGGGAAACGTGTTCTCTTCTCACGTGACGCATGCTGTAAGGTCACAAGTCCTCCCATTCTTAGTTTGTGTTGCGTTTCCTTTCAATCTTACCTTACGGTGCGCTTTATCCGTTTCCAAAGGTTGCCATTTTGAAACACTAAACTGCAAGTTAGAGTGCTGTTTGAATGTCCACCCACGGCATGTTTTGAATGTCCTCACAGAGCACGTGCGATAAATTGAGGACAAAATTGTATATTTAACCATTCTAGATGCCTATGTATCTTGTTTAAATGTAAATGTCGAAATTTAATATGTATATAAACAGTTCATAAAGCTAAAATATGCCAGCATAAAGTTAATTCATGCGTTGTATTTGAAGTAATATTTATAGTTCTTCCGCTTCTTTTTGTTATCAAGAAAAGCCCCCTTAATGCAAGCGATAGTACCTAAATACATTATTTAGGGAAGAAGCTAAAAATTCTTGAATTTACATACAACAGAAAAATTTCAATGCCAAGGAATATTTCGGCATAATGATCTTATAATTGAATCGCTTTCGACGAAGACTTCTTTTTAATCCTCCCTCGATTACTGATGTGCTAGATGTTTCAAATCTGTCATAAACAACTCTTCTCTGTCTGTTGCTCTCTTTGCGAAAAACTTCGCCGTGAAAACATTTTTTAAATGGATTCTTCCATACTTGGTTTTATTATATTTTTTAATATTATTTTTCGTGTTAAATTTTCATATTCTTTCAAAGGTTTCTGCTGGCGTGTATGAATGTCTTTTGATGCTTTATTGCTTGTTTACAATTTATTTTTTCTTTTTGATCGTAGTATCGCGGACGGGCTTGAACTTCAACCGCTCAGGAACCCTAAGTGGTAAGTCAATAATCGCTTCTTGTTGTCTGTAAAAATATGACTATGTGTTTTCATTTGGTAATTTTTGTTTGGTATGTTGTGACATTGATATATGTGGTTAATATAGAAATAGTATTAGTACTACTTGAAAATTTATCCAAAAGAATAGAGCGTGTTAATGTTGTGATAATGATTTATCCTGCATACTTGGAAAACGTTGTTAAGCAATATCTGCCTACTTAACTTTATGAGTTTCGATTCGTATTACAGAAGATATAATGGAGAATGGAATCAATTTCGACAAGATCTGATGATCTCGTTCTAAGCAACTAATGAACGATAAAAATACTTCTACTAATAATTTACAGTTTTAACTCCCATATCGTTTCTTCGGCTCTACAGAAAATATTATTATGTTCTTTACAATTTTTATTGTGAAACTTTTTTACATTTTTAAGTAGATAGTAAACAATTGCACGATTATTGCCATGCAAACGTGACATCAACACTGCTGGACGGAATATTTCCATAACAATTAAAATATGATTCAGACATTCAATGTGGCATTGTATTCATGTGTGTATTTATAAAGTATTGAGTCACACCGCATATAAAAAGGCGAAGCGCGCTCTGGTCACGAGACGAAAGCCTACACTTACTCAAGGGCCGCCGTGCGTTGCGTAATGGCTTCGTCATACGTGTGTGTGTGTTGTGTGGTGGGTGTGTGTGGGTGTGTGTGTGTGTGTGTGTGTGTGTGGTTGGGTGTGTGGGTGTGTGTGGTGTGGTGTGTGGTGTGGTGGGTGTGTGTGTTGTGTGGGGTTGTGGGTTGGTGTGTGTGTGTGTGTGGTGTGTGGGTGTGGTGTGTGGGTGGGTGTGTGGGTGTGGGTGTGTGTGTGTGGGTGTGTGGGTGTGGTGTGGTGTGTGTGGTGGTTGGGTTGTGGTGCGTGTGGAGGTGGTGCTGGGTGTGTGTTGTGGGAGGTGTGTGTGTGTTGGTGTGGTGTGGTGTGTGGTGTGTGTGTGTGTGTGTGTTAGTGTAGTGTGTGTTCAGTGCATCACGTCTCTGCCGCGCCGGACGGCGACGCGTGGAAGTAGCGATTGACATAAAAGCGAAGTGCAGTGCCGGCGGGGCGTGGGCGGAGGAATGCTTTTAGGTGGCGGGCGCCTAAGTCTTTTAGCGCTATTACGCTTATCGACCGTCGCACCTGTTTGGCGAGCACGTGGCCCCCTGTCGCATGGCCTGTGCCCAGTCGCGTCTCACGGAATGGGAAAGTGCGCTGTTGTTGGTTGTTTTTTTCCCCCGCGATAGGTATGAGGAAAAGTGAGCGCCTTGTCTTCGAGTATGTAAATGACGCGAATGCAGTGGCGTTTTTGTTTTTGTTTTATGCCCGAGGTACCCTGTGCTTGTTTTGACAACGAAACAATTTAAAATTAGTGCTGATTTGTCGAAATTCTCTTAACATTTTTGTCCTTCTCTCAAATAAATAACATATAAAACAGTGATCATGGGCGAGTTTACAAAGAATATCCCGAGACAGTAATTATCACGTAGACAAAAACTTTTATTCTGTTACAATTCTAATACTAAATGCATTTATTCTGTTTCAATTGCATAGAAATAAACAAATTCGAGTCCATAATATGTTAACACAAAACTATATTTTGTTGTGACTTGCATTTGAAATAAGTACATCGTACAGTGAATGTAACTTAATCCTATACCGCTCGCAATAGAGTTTACGAAATCGAGTCCATATCGTAAAACAGTTCTTGAACGGTGAAGGTAATCAATTTCAAGACAAGCGAATGGCATCGTGAGCAAGAAAAGTTGAGTGCGTGGATAATCTTGTTAATCGAGATATTTGTTTGCCCTTTTAAGAGGGGGCTTTTCTGAACCAGATTGTCCCTGTGGCATTGCGCTGGAAAGGTTAACGAAGTTAAATGCAGCTAGTCAAGATTGCAGTCTTAAACCTGATTCGTAAATTCACGTTGCAATTTCAATATGGAGCTAGATGGTTATTAACATTTGTCTAAAAAATCCTGCTGTGACTTATGTCCGCCGAGCTTTGCGCAATGTAACCCCAGCCAATTTACAAAATCTTCAGGCTCTTCGAAATAAATATTTAAGACTTTCACGCAAAACCCCATTGTTCTTATAACACCCACAAATCCACCAAGAGCTTCAAATCACACCAGTTTCCAAATATAACGTCTAATGCATCCGCAAAGTTCTATTTTCTCCTACCTTGATGCCCAGCAGGCCCGGGCCAAAAAGCACACCTCCCTCCACGCATCCAATCCGCTTACCGAACCTCTTCCGCCCACCAACCTTCTCAACCATCCCTCATTCTGTTTCCCCCTCCCCCACTATCCAATTGTATGTTATAATCAATTAACACGCACTGGATTGTAGGTCGTGCATAATACATTCGTCTGGGGATGTCCAACAGCAATTTTTTGTTTGGAACTTATTTAAAATCCCCTTAAAGCTAGTTGAATAGGGTTACAAAGACTGTCACAGAGCAGTATAAATAACATTACTCATATTTCAGACTTCCTCGTGTTTATCCATTTATTTAATGAAGAACTGTATTCAGCGTTTGCTAGGGAGAAAAGCTACATCCATTGTTTGGAAGCAACGCAAGGGATCATCCATTTGCTCGAAATTTGAAAGAATATGGACAAAAAACTCAATTGACATTTCTCTTAAATATCTACCGAACAGCTACAGATGGTAATGAAAATCTAACATTGAACAATGTTTCGTAATGCAGAGTAATCGAAAGTGTACGAGTATTTGACAATCATGAGGATATTATTCCAAGATCGCTTTATCGTTGCGTTGTGTAGTGGGTAACAAAATTGTAAGTAAAATTTGAATTTCACATTGCCACCAACCAATATTAAATAAATAATATGGTAAACGGCTCATCTCGTGGCTTAGAGCGAAGTCGCTCGTCTTTCAAGGAGGTCGTGGTTCGATTCCCGAGTCCAACCCCTGTCAAGTATCCTAAACCCTACCCCTAGCCGCTGGGTAGTGACGCAGGAGCGCAAAAGAGAGAGGCGTGGACGCGGAGATGCTACCTGGCGGTTCACTTGACAACCGACTGCGACGAAACGTAACAGATATGACAATGTTAACTATGGAGGATTACTCCCGCGCTGTTGTTATGGAGATTACTTTGGAAGCGCAAAGTGTTCAACGCCCCCCCCCTCAAGGGCCTGTAGACGCATTGCGTCTTTTAGACGCAACAATTAAAATTAATAATTAAATGATGATATGATGATTGATAATAATAATAATAATAATAATAATAATAATATAATATAAATATATTTAATAATAATATTGAAGTAAAGGGATAAGCTAATGTTTAAAATTATTTAAAATGAAAAAATTGTAAAATAATGATAATTGTAACTAAACATTGATGATCTTCGGATCAAACACAAAGATACTGGAGATTAATTTATATCACCCATAAATTCGTGCGGAAATTTGTGTGAAGTGGCACCGTATTTTTCAATTCCACTCTGAATATAGCAAAATAGTGATCCGATATAACTCATGGGCGTTTCTTTTCTGATCTTGTCCTCTGGTCGTGGGCGGCAGAGCGTAGAAATGACGCCAGCCGTAAGGAAGGTTGATTCACACTGAAGCCGCTAGGCGTTGGATTTGGAAGGGAAAGTAAACTTTTACCTGTCCGAATGAGGACCTGCCCGGCAGGATGCTCCTAATTATGGGTTTCAAGCAATACGTAAGAAAACTTGGCGTGACGTTGCATGTGATGAAAGAGTTTCTGAACGAAAATAATCTCTTTTTTGTGGATACTGACGTTCATTGAAGGTAATGCGCAAGAAAGAATACAAACAACATTCATATTCATTTACTGAATTTATTCGCACTTTGAAATCTCTGAAGACCTACTGGTATTGAAAGTTACCAATAGAAGTATCCTTAAAATGTGTTATTGAAATGGGGGAATTGTGATAATGTTCTGGGAATGATGAAATGTAATATTGAAACCTTTCAATTTAAAAATATTTTTTCTTTAACCTTTACACTTATCACCTTCAAGTAAGTGCTTTTAGAATGTTTTAGTGTTTTATTTTGAAATGTCGCCAAAAGCATTTAGAACTGTACGCATGCATTCAAATAAATAACAACTAAGGGCAAGATATTTCATACCCTTTTTTTTCGGACATCGATCCTCTGTTGAGGTTTAATCAGATAGTACAAGCAGTACTGAAGAGTTTAGAACATTCATTTATTTTTTTATTTTTCCTTCCTCAAGTAGGTTGGAAGTTAAGTTACTAAAATGCCTATAAAACCCAGAAATTTCCACACAATCAGTGCTCTGAGATAATAGTTCATTCCAAATATTCACGACTTCATGTTCCTTAAATATGTGCAACAAGTATTTTAGCTGTAAATGTGGAGACACAAGAAATGTTGGAGTTCAATAAAAAAATAAATACGTAATTATATATAAATCGTACACATGGTAAATATATGAGAATGAAAAGAGACAATTTATTACATTGTGTACATTACAAAAGTGACAATTTATTACATGCATTACTGTAATATGTCAGTATCAATATAAGGAAATGCTATCATGATATTCACATGACTACAAAACGAAACCCAAAAAATCTTAGCGCTAAAACCACGCTAATAATTTCTCTATGCATGGCTCGTACACGTAAAAATAAAGATAATATAAATTTATTTTAATCGCAATAAGGTATAACGTAGTGGCAGTTAATTACATAAATAAGGTAATATAATTGCATGCAAATAATATAATACTGGTAATAATAATATAAGAACTGATGATTCTTAAAACATTAAATTACTTGAAGAAAAATAAACGTTTTTAATCTAAGTCCGCACTGAAGGTTTGTACACTTCAGACCGCACACCACTGGCACTTCACCGTCCTTCACTTTACTGCTCCTCACTTCATTGTAGCACTTAAAACACGTTCTTTATTATTCCTCTGCTCTACACTGCACATCTCACTTCACTATATAACCTAATATTCTTAGTTAAGGCCCTCATAAACTTATTAATACCCTAAATTAATTTCCTAAACTGTTGAACTCTTCGAGGAAATTATTCAAAGGTTTTTACAGGCAACCTATTCCATTTCATTATCGTTCGATTTGTGAAAGAGGATTTCCTGACATCCGTTCTCTATGGTCTTAAATTTAGCCGAGTGAATCCTATCCTGCCTTTTCCTGTCCGAGAAAGTAAATTTAACTGCTTTACGCTGAATCCTTTCTAAATTTTTACGCTGCATCATTTTGTGCGGATCCCAACTAATTGCTTCATATTCAATTATCAGACGAACACGCGATAAATAATCAATTTACTTTGCGTTTACCGTCCTCTATTATTCAAATGTTCAATTTTATTGGTTTGCATTTACGAAAGAAAGAGTCGAATCTATCTCACCAGTGGTTAACGTGTGCTGTTATCAACGAGTTGTAAGCGTCCTATCATGTGCATGGGAGATATGTTCCCTTTAATCAATATTTTTGTTGAGACTATGTTTTATAAAATGGGCCACAGAAACATCTGATAAAAAATTCTGATTACGACAGCAACGACGCTACTTGTTTAAAAGCAATTTTTCTTTTAAGGATTAAAAGGTTTGGTGAAGAACTCAGTAAACAGATTTTGAATTGACGGAGGGGGATACCTACGGGGATCTTGTTTGGTTTTACCTTGTTGGAAAATGTTTTCTGGTGTTATGGAACTCCTTCTGGGCAGATCGACACAATTTCAGGATGCCATGGAGTTTCAAACCCCGTAGTAAATTGTGGGCGCTAAACCGTCTATAAACAGACGTAGGTAGGAGCTTGATATTCCATGCATTAGTGACGCCTGGCATTGACAGGCTGGTAAGCGATTCCGCGTGCGAATGTGTACTGAAACAAACGATCGAACGGATTATAATGGTGTGTGTGTATAATTGTGATCGAACACATTACAGACTACACAGAAATAGTGTAATTCCAAATGTTTTTTGGGGATTCCCCTACAGTTAATAGGTTATATTTGAATGGACTAAATGCATTTGTAGTTATCTCATTTGATGTTATTCGCATGCAAAATTACATATAATTGTAGTTGTCTCATATTGTATAATGTTATTCTTATGAAAAATTACACTACGATGGCTCATTGAAATGGATAAGTAAATGATATCAAATGTAAAAGTTTTATTTCAATTCTATATGTAATTTAAGAGTAAGGTGTGACTCTACGTATCTATATGGTTCATGTGTTTTTGTACGTGTACGTGTAACGTGTCTCGAGCAGCCGAAAGAATAATAACTGACCAGCTGGACGAAGCGCCTCTTCCTGCACCAAGCACGCAGCCGGGGCGATTGGCTTCGGGTGTTGGGTTCGCACGCCACGGTCGTAACTCACGGCTCGCGGTCGGGGCGACGGCGGCGGCGGCGGCGGCGACGGCGGTGCAGCCAGGTGGCGCCGGTGACCGCCAGGCGCGCGGAGGCGTGACGCCGCCTTCGCCTACTCCACCGCCGCCGCCTCCATCGTCACCGCCGTCCGCCCACCTGCCACCGTGCCTCCACCGCTTCCGCCACCTCCAACGCCATCCGCCTCCGCCACCGCCTCCGCCACCACCGTTGCCGCCGCCTCCACCACCGCCCCCCGCCGCCCCCACCCCTCCTCCGCCGCCGCTCAGCCCCACCAACTTCCGCCTCCATGGTTCCCTCCTCCTCCGCCACCGCCGCCTCCACCGCCTCCGCCCGCCACGCTCTGTGCGCTGCGCCCCGCCGTCGACGCGGAGAAAGCAGCGCGCCCCGCCCGCCTGGCCGAGAGGCGCCGTGACGCCGTTCCGCGCAACGCTGCTGCCGCCGCCGCCGCCCGCGTCGCGACGCCCGCGGCGGTCATTGTCCCCGAAGGGGGACCGCACAGGGGCACGCGGTGCGGCGGACACTGATTCATTGCTAGTTTGTGTTTTCTGACGTGTCAACCGCTTTGGTCTTTGGTTCCGTGTGAAGTATGCAATATCCCGTCAAGGTTCCATTTTATTACCGTAATACTGAAATATTACTGACACCGTAATAAACCGCCTTAGGCGGCGTATTGCTGTCACTGCAGTGCCTCTTATCGCGAGGTTCAACGGTTCGAGTTCCAACGGTGACGGGATTTTCGACACTACTATGCCAGCTAGGTCGAATTCGGCTGCTGGCTGGAGGAGAATTGAAGCGGCGGGCTGCTCTGATGGGTAGTTTTACGCGGTTTTTCCAAACAACACCAGGCAAATGCCGGAGCAGTACCCTCACAAACAGCCCGCGATCTTTCCTTGGACTTCCTTGTCCTATCCTCGCCACTTACTTACACTTACACTCACATGCAGTACTCTACCGCGGCAAAATTTAAAGTAACAAACATATATTCTTTCAGTGGAAAAACATATTAAACACGTACTTTTTACTACTAAATGTTCAAGGAGTTTCTTTATTTTCATCGCAATCGTGTTGTATTCTTAAACAGATGTGTTTGATGATAAATGTGTCATTCTTGATGTATTTGTGGTTACCGAAAGATGTTGCTCATTGATTTTCAGGTAGGATAGGGATGATATTGTAGCATCATCTCTTGTATTATTTCAGTAGTATACATATCTTTTGTGATTCTTACACGTAACCCATCTTTATAAATGAAGTCTCTAAAGAAAGAGAATTTCACGAAACGTGACGAATTACAATTTGACTTTAAAATTATGAAGGACTTGTTCAAAAACGCATCTAAATATTCATGTCAAATATACTTTCTATTCTTCTCCGTGTTTTGGGAAGTTTCACGAATTATTTAAATGATCGTCGTCACCCGCGTCACTGAATCTCACCATGTTATTACTATTGATAATAACGGAAAGAGATGTGAAAATCAAAGAGGTTGCATTATACATACGCGGTTTATTGCACACAGTGGTACATACACATAGTAGATGCATACAACACCGCCTGTACAGAAGGCCTCGGAACAAGTCAAAGGCGTCATCACATTTAGGCCAGGTTCTGCTTCGACGTTTGCTTACATCGCATAAGTGTTTGGTTGCAATTTTTTTCATGTTCAATGCAAGGAAAAATTAGTATAATGCTAAACAAAATGTCACTTATTGTTATTAAATATATTTAATTCGCTATGAGTAAAATTTACCATCCATAAGTAAACTAAAACACGTGTAGCTTACTATTATATTCCTTGCTCTACCAACAGAAGGAACTGAATGTAAATAAATTTTAGATGCATACTTGTCAATCTTCAACTAACTAACACGTCAATTGACAAACACACGTCAATTGAAAATTTTTAGAACTTCATTATTCATAATTTCATGTAAAACACGTAGCTTCAACGTTATTCAGTTCAAACACGACAGTGTCCTCTTAAAGTGGTTAGGCAGAACAAATTATTCACGGTTTCTCTAGAAATTTATGCTACGTTGTTTATGACAGATACATTTTAATATCTCTTCATTTGTAGATTCCTTCAGTCTATAATAGAGTAATAACAGAATTGTTGATTATATTTTATTTATTTGTCGTTCTATTAACTCCACGTCGTTGAACGCTTTAAAACCTGATGTGTACAGCCTTCATTGTTCGTACTCGCTTATTCGCCCGTCATTGTTCTACGCACAGGGACGCGCGTCAATCCTATAGGTCACTGCCGCTGGTGCTGACGTTGCACAGGCGCTTCCCAGCTGCAGTCTGCGCTCTGCGCTGTATCATGGTTGAAACAGATGCGCAACCAGGGTGCGAATTGGCACTTTTCTTCTCAAAGGGCATTGAAACATTGGTGAGAGGCATAAAATCGGCGAATAAAACGAAGGCTATCTTCACTTACGCGGTACAATCTGAATAAATGCGAAGAACGCTATTTGGTAAAACGTTATTTTCCAATTTGTATGATTTGAACGTTTCAAAGAGTGGAAATCATAAACAAGTACATAGAGATAACTTACATTTGGATGTGACCAATTAATACTTTTGCAGCAGGAGACTTCAAACTGTCGAGGGACGATCATCCCCGATATCATATTTCTCTCTCCTCAGAGCTCCGAAACCAATGCGATCATTAGCTGATTTATGAAAGTCAAAAGTCAAGTGGGTAAATGCTGGGGATATCTGATCAAGACCTTGAATCTTGAAGATTCAAGATTAGAAAACTCAAACCGATTTTTATCTTTGAAGAATCCTTATACAGCGGGAATAATTTTGGGTATGAACAGTGTGTGCTCTGCAGAAATTTATAGGCTGGGGTTTTTATTCCATTTTGTTGGAACACACTAAGTTACTGCGTAGCAGTTAGTCAACGAATTGTTTTTTTTAAACGCGCAGGGGCTTGTGTGTTTTCGTTGTTGGCAACATGTCTGACCACCCGTCCGCCCGTTCGTTCGTTCGTCTGACCTTCCGTCCGTCCGTCCGTCCGTCCGTCCGTCTGTCCGTCCGTCCGTCCGTTCATCCGTCCGTCCGTCCGTCCGTCCGTCCGTCCGTCCGTCCGTCCGTCCGTCCGTCCGTCCGTCCTCCATACGTCCGTCAGTGTGTCTGTGGTCAACGATAGCGCCTAAACCGTTTAGATGATTTTCTCCAAAATTGATATTTCTCGATCGATCTTGCCGAATTTAAGGTTCTGCGATTTTGAAATGGGTATTTTGATTTTTGGAGTTCTTTACATGAAGCCTTAATATTTTTTTTGAGCGTTTTCCTCAGATATAGCAAAGGATCCTTAAAATAATTGCCCAGGTCTCATTTTCGTTGAACTCTCTGACTTTTCGAAAATTGCAAGACTTGACATATTTTTCGGCTGCTTCCTACCACTACAATAGACAAGATGGAGATTTTTTCCTGAGGGGAATCTGTTTTTTAAAGACAGATATTTAAATAAGATCACTTTGAAAGTATGAGTAGCAATTTCTGAAAATATGAAGCGGCAGTTTGAAAGTATGAGAAAGTAGTTTTTGAAAATCTGTGGAGCAGTAGTTTCATGGAATCTTGTTGAGAGTGTGACAATACTGATGATAGTTTTTTCCTTAATGAAATATATTCTAAAAACGGATCTTTAAAAAAATTCATACACAAAATTTTAAAAAAGTAGATTTTGTTTAATTTTTGTTTCAATGAAAAGAATTTTTTCTACAAATAGCACCACTTTGGAAAATTGTATCCCTCTTTTTATTTTTTCTCTACAGCGCAGGTCGCTTAGAAGTTTTCCCAAGTTTCATTTTCGTTAAACATTCTGAATTATAGAAAATTCCAAAAATTAAAAATAATTCCAGAAATCATGTGCCGTTGTAGGACCACTAGTTTTTAAAGTTACATCCACTACTGGGTAATAACCCAGTGTACTCTAAAAAGACAGTCCTCAGTACATAAACGGTAATAATATAATGATTTATTTATGATTTACTGCTCTTATACAGACTACATATGACTTAGGCACAATTTATTACGCTGGCTACCGGAGGAGATGGTTCAGGCATCAACTGATGTCATTGCAGTCCCTGCAGGTTCGAGTCCCGATGGCGATTTTCGAGACTAGTTTGTCAGCTAGGGCGAGTTCAGTGGCTGTCTACAGGAGAATCCCAACGGCCGGCTGCTCTGATCGGTAGCTTTCCCTGGTTTCGCCGATCAACAACAGGTGAATGACGGAGCAGTACCCTACTAAACGGCCTCGGACCGCGCGCGATCTTTCCTCCCTCTTCCTTGTCCTATCCTTTCTCCTTACACACACACACACACACACTAACACGCGCTACACATGCCGGAAGTCAGGCGTGGAGCTTAGACCTTGTCCCGGCTGGGGCGGTGCACGTCTCCCGCTGGTGGAGATATCTGGTTGTGGAAATACTCGCTAGCCGACGGTAGGTCGGCGCTGGAACTCGCCATACTGCGGGTGAAGACCATCGCTGTTCTCCAGAAAAAAACACGCGCTATATTTACGGGACTAACGACATAGTAATTGACGCGCCCGGAATCACTAACACTCAACCAAACGATGGCTAGTATAACGTCGTGCCAATGTGACCTCCGGACCCCACATGTCGGGAGGCCGGCGAGGGGTGGGGGCAATCCTTTGGCGGCAGGCCGAAGGCTACCAAAGACGAGGCCTCCGCGAGGGGCGCGGGTTGGCATGTCTCGGAACGCCGGTGTCAACTGGCGCAGAGGGAGATGATGGGCGAGAACAGCCACTGGGCAGCTGGGCTCCAAATTGCAACCAGGCCCAGGGTTCAGTAAGGAGATAACGCTTCCGCCATGGGAGGTCTGTCACGTGATTCCTCGTGAGGCGCTGAAGTGTAAAACAGCCGGGGACATTCGTGTTTGAACCGCGGTGCGGAAGGCACTTGTCACCCGCCAGGAGTTATCGCTAGCTTCAGCTGC